CTCACCCTTAGGTTTCCAGTGGTCAGGTTGCTCTGATAATCTGTCCTATGGCGTTGCATTCTCTCAGACATTTGTGGACGAGCCAGAGAGAGCTAAGGGCATGTCGTCAGGGCGACCGCTAATGAACATTCACAATAATGAAGCAGGACGGAAGGCAAGCAAGATGTTTATAAAAACTTATCGTCAAATGCATATTGGTTTTCATGCTTTTTTCTATCTTTGTTCAGGCAATCCTCCATAACATGCAGGTTGAGTGTAAGTGTCATGGTGTTTCGGGGTCCTGTGAGCTCAGAACTTGCTGGAAGGTCATGCCTCCGTTCCGCCAGGTCGGTGCTGTGCTGAAAGAACGCTTTGATGGGGCCACAGAGGTATGTCACAATGGCTCTATTCCAAAAACTACTGAGGTGATTACTGCCTACACAGGTAGCTGTCTTCTAAGGCAGAATCCTAACTAAGATGGAACCTCTTAAGTGACTGATTTGGAACCAAGTGTGTAGTGATGTGTCGTTCGAACGAGCCGGCTCTAAGAGCCGATTCTTTGTAGCGAAAGAGAAGAGCCGACTCCCATCGGGGAGAGCCGAATCTTCAGCCGGAGCCTTCTATTTTAGCCCAATTTAGCAATTGTGAATAGTTTGTGTGTTGGTAAGCAATTTTTTAATTTAGTGTATTCATAAAAGCCTTATTTTTATGCATTTTTTTTTCATAAAAAAAAAATAAGAAGAAAATACACATGCGGCTAATCACATGGGAGGACAGACTAGGATGTGAAAGATGGAATGGGATTGGGGACACATTCAGAAGATAGCGAGTGTAGTGGTATGCTGCGTTCAAGTCCTCCTGGGACGTTCGTACTTACGAGTTGACAAGTCGTAATTACGACTTCAGGTGCGTTCAAGTCAGTTTAGTCAGCACAAGATGGCGGTGTACCTTCTTTAAATAAATGACAAGAAAATACAACAGGGTCTATTAACTCTGCTTATAAAAAATGAAGAGCAAAGAATTCGCATCAGGTGTGTTTTGCGGTTTTAATATTTTTTTTTAGACCAGGATCCCAGTATAACTGATTTTCAGCATCAACAAATGCTAAAATACAGAGATTAAAAAAAGCTGTTAGCTAAATGCAACATGGCAAATCAAAAGATTTTTCACCTATAGGTGCAAAAATGATAGCATTTTTTTTTTACTTGGATTTCATTAACTAGCTGTGTAACAAGAACATGACCAGTTTAAGTTTATAGGACAACTAAACTAAACTATCAATTTAAACAAAAATTGCATCCATCAATTCCGCCATGTTTCTAATTGACAAGCCCCCAACTCGGGGCTTAAAAATATTTTCGAGTTTCCCACTCGTAATAACGACTTTGTGGTGGTGTTCATCTCGTAAATACGATCTATCCGACATGACTTGAACGCACCGGTATAGGCCAGGTACACACTAGGAAGGAAGGAAGACACTGCATTGTTGCAACATTGGTCCCCTCAGTCTTCTCAAAAACAGGACAAATAATCACAGAGAGGAGAAATTGCATCAGCACATCCAAGCTGAGGCATCGGTCTTAATGTTAAGACTTTTGCCTTTATTTGTTTGCTGTGGTTCTGTGTTCAATTGTTCAATTAAAGTTTTATTAAAATGTTAAATAATAGTAGGCCTATCTGTGTTTTTTTTTGTAACGAAAAAAATGCATAAACATAAGGCTTTTATGAAAACACTGAATAATACAATTGCTTACCAACACACAAACCATTCACCACTGCTAAATTGGGCTAAAATAGAAGGTCCCACTCGTAATAACGACTTTGTGGTGGTGTTCATCTCGTAAATACGATCTATCCGACATGACTTGAACGCACCGGTATAGGCCAGGTACACACTAGGAAGGAAGGAAGACACTGCATTGTTGCAACATTGGTCCCCTCAGTCTTCTCAAAAACAGGACAAATAATCACAGAGAGGAGAAATTGCATCAGCACATCCAAGCTGAGGCATCGGTCTTAATGTTAAGACTTTTGCCTTTATTTGTTTGCTGTGGTTCTGTGTTCAATTGTTCAATTAAAGTTTTATTAAAATGTTAAATAATAGTAGGCCTATCTGTGTTTTTTTTTTGTAACGAAAAAAATGCATAAACATAAGGCTTTTATGAAAACACTGAATAATACAATTGCTTACCAACACACAAACCATTCTCCACTGCTAAATTGGGCTAAAATAGAAGGCTCCGAGTGATTCTAAATAAAGAGCCATTTGGGAGCCGTAAGAGCTGGCTCTTCTAAGGGAGCCGAGCCGAACTTCCCATCAATACTGTGCCAAGCATGTCCTTAAAAGTGATTATCATTATTTCTAAGCACTGAATGTCCTTTGATGGTTTTTGGAGTTTGTCACAATGCATTCTCTGTGAAGGTTACATGCAATGCTACATTAGAATTTGGCCATATTGTTGAAGGCAGCATAAATATGTGTATCTAAGGTCAAGGGTCACTGTCGTACTTTCTGCTTAGGTACGGCTGACACGTGTGGGCTCTCGCACAGCTCTCCTTCCACGGGACCCCCAAGTGAAGCCACCAGCCGCACGGGACCTGGTTTACCTGGCTCCTTCACCAGATTTCTGCCGCTTGGATCCAGACAATGGCATTCCTGGCACTGCAGGACGACGTTGTAATGGTAAAAGCATAAAAATCAAGACAAAAAATTAACTTTGATCTTTCTGATTATTAATTCTCTAATCATTTCCCTGGTTTTATGTGTTATTTGATAACTCTTTACTTAACCTTTTCTATTGTTCCACATCCTAGGAACCTCACGGTTGGCACCAGATGGATGTGAACTGTTATGTTGTGGCCCAGGTTTTCGAGCAGGCAGGGCTGAGGTGGTTCAGCGCTGCTCCTGTAAGTTCTCCTGGTGCTGCTCAGTTCGCTGCCAGCAGTGTAAGAACACAGTGCTCATACACACCTGCCGAGAATGAGACATACCTGAAAAAACCACACAACCACACCAGAAGCACCTCATCTCATGCCAGCCTGCATTAATTCCCACAAACCAGCTCCATCTAAAACATTCTGCATCATGTCTCATTTTTGGTGACTTTAAAGTTCTTTCAGATGTGACATTACATTATAGTTATTTTATTCTGCAATTGCATTTTTGCTGAAAAGCAGTGTTGAGCTTGAACATACATGCACTATTACATTTCTTAAATGCTCAAATACACATAAAATACAAAACCATTAACTAACTTGCTCAGACAATGCTTAAAGGCTTAAATTAACCTCTGAATAACAGCAGAAAAATGTTAGTTTAGTCTAAGGCCTTAGCATTAAATTCTAGTCAACAGTTGCTCTCTCCCGGTTTACAGTATTTATAATTTCTTTTCAGTTTTGCTGATTGTGTTTATTTATTCGAGTTCATCATGCCTTCTCTCTGGATGGAAAATTCCACCTGCAAACTCTCCGGCTTTAGCTGTTTTGTTTCGGCTCGTTCTATTGCATAGAGGCTCATTTATTGCTATTGTCTCATTTTTATAATCTATATGGCCTAAAATAAAGTTGTTTGACAACCTACATTTGGAAAGATGTTGTTTTGTTCATTATGGATTGACACATTTTAAATTAATACATTAAATTCAAAATTCTGGGGTCGGTACGATTTTTAAAAATGGTTTTAAAAGTCTCTTAGGGTCACCAAAACTACATTTATTTGATCAAAAAATACTTTTACAGTCAAAACACATCTTTTATATTTTTAAAAATAATTTATTACGGTGATGGCAAAGCTGAATTACTCCATTACTCCAGTGTAACATGATCCTGCAGAAATCATTCCAATATGCTGATTTGGTGCTGGAGAAACATCAGTTGCTCTCTCCCGGTTTACAGTATTTATAATTTCTTTTCAGTTTTGCTGATTGTGTTTATTTATTCGAGTTCATCATGCCTTCTCTCTGGATGGAAAATTCCACCTGCAAACTCTCCGGCTTTAGCTGTTTTGTTTTGGCTCGTTCTATTGCATAGAGGCTCATTTATTGCTATTGTCTCATTTTTATAATCTATATGGCCTAAAATAAAGTTGTTTGACAACCTACATTTGGAAAGATGTTGTTTTGTTCATTATGGATTGACACATTTTAAATTAATACATTAAATTCAAAATTCTGGGGTCGGTACGATTTTTAAAAATGGTTTTAAAAGTCTCTTAGGGTCACCAAAACTACATTTATTTGATCAAAAAATACTTTTACAGTCAAAACACATCTTTTATATTTTTAAAAGTAATTTATTACGGTGATGGCAAAGCTGAATTACTCCATTACTCCAGTGTAACATGATCCTGCAGAAATCATTCCAATATGCTGATTTGGTGCTGGAGAAACATTAATGTTGAAAACAGTTGTGCTGCTTACTATTTTTGTGGAAACCGTTTATTCCCCCTCAAGACTCTTTAATAAATATTAAGTTCAAAAGAACAGCATTTATTTCAAACAGAAATCTTTTGTAACATTAGATTTATGGATCCTTCCTGAATAAAAGTATTAGTTTCTAAAAAAAAAAAAAATCTTACTGACCCCAAACTTTTGAATGGTACTATGTGTGGCAAACACTAAACAATCAAGTAATTATTTAAAAACAGGATAGAAATACAGCTGTGTCAGTCGCACCACTTTTATTACAAATATAGTGAGATTCCAAACACCGCAGAACTTTACTAAGAAAAGGCCACATTTCAAACCATCATCATCAGTTATCCTCATCCTTTTTACTCACATGACTATTAAGATCGGTTATTCAAAATATTACATTTCAAATTGTTATTTTATTATTAAATCACAATCAAATGGTACTGTAGCAAAAAAAAAAATAATAAAAAATAGTCATTTAAAAAAAAAAGCTTAAGTTTCAAAATGTCACCACTAAATTCATTCACCCATGAGATAACAGTAATACATTTAATACATCATACTCAGTCAAAACAAAAATAAAAAAAATAAAATTCAGTTTTCTAAACGTGTCAGTCGCACCACTTTTATTACAAATATAGTGAGATTCCAAACACCGCAGAACTTTACTAAGAAAAGGCCACATTTCAAACCATCATCATCAGTTATCCTCATCCTTTTTACTCACATGACTATTAAGATCGGTTATTCAAAATATTACATTTCAAATTGTTATTTTATTATTAAATCACAATCAAATGGTACTGTAGCAAAAAAAAAAAACAATAAAATAAAAAGTCATTTAAAAAAAAAAAGCTTAAGTTTCAAAAAGTCACCACTAAATTCATTCACCCATGAGATAACAGTAATACATTTAATACATCATACTCAGTCAAAACAAAAAAAACAAAAAAAAAATTCAGTTTTCTAAATGGCCAGCAGAAGGCACTGCATGGCTTGAGAGTAAATGCACTTAAGAGAGATTCTAGGAGCATGAAGCACAGAAGAGAACAGTCTGGCTCATACAGGAAGAAACAAATGCTTGTGAACTAAAAACCATTGGCTCCCACGCAAGTCCCAAACTCTCTTATATAACCATATAACACCGGTCACTCAGGAAGGGATGTGGCCATAGAGTGATTTTTATGGCCATAACACTCTGATCCAACATTAAAATTGTAAAAATATCTAAAACTGTTATTATTTTATATATGTTCTGTTTCAATGCCATTGTCAGTGATTAGAGCTAATTATATGCCCAAACCAATCACGTTAGCTTGCTTTTGTGCCAGATCCAGTCCAGTACATATTAATAACAGTATATGAACCACATATAGCACTGAACCTGCCTACAGTT